GAGCATGATAGACTTTTACTGTCAGTGGTTGTTGCATCACTAGCTGGCTGGCTGCATAAGGAAACAGGGGGGGCGGCCATGGGGAGGAGGATGCTAACGTGTCGGCAGCTCATGTTTGCAGGACAAAAATCGATCACTAGTAGAACCTTACTTATGGCACAACGGAACGGATACAGACAATTCTGCAACATGTTTGTCCGATCGATGTTGATCGGTTTGATAGCCGAATGAATCTGTATGTTAATTTGCCCCACAGAAACAGTACGTCGCCGTCTCAACTTGATCGAGTCCTCAGAGGCTGCTGATGAGATGCATTCTGCGTACTCTGAACTTTGCCAATTCAGTCCTGCATAATTCTACACATGCATATGCTGCGACCTAGTAATCAGTAGGAATAGGATATATACCAAAGGATTTTTGTTCTTTGCGGCCGGAGATAACATATACAAACATGTCAACTCACACAATGCAAGTGATTCAATTGACAAGGTGGTCCAGGTCACGTGGCATGTATATACTAGTATATAACAAGCACTATACATGATCAGCCAAATCCTTGTTTACTGCGTAGCAGTAGCAGCTAGCTAGATAGAACTTGATAGATTACATCAATTCTTTCAAGGTGGTACTAGAAAAGAATAGGCTAGGAAGAAGACAAGCATGGCCGAACACTATCACTTGTGCTAGCTCCTCTCCTTCCACTGAGATGAGATAAACACACACACACACACACACACACACACACACACACACATACAAACAGAACTTTCTTTCAGAGGCACGAGGCGATTTGAAGCAGGGTTTGACCATCATTTCATCCTACGTATACGACAACTGTTCAGCCATCAGGGAAAGAGTACGATCAGATCGTTATCGATCTTCAAATACGTCTGTCAACCCCTTTCTTAAACGAAAATATGTCTGTCAACCGAATCATTACTATTTAAATAATAAAGAGAAAAAGAAAAACAGAAAACCCATCGATCGTGCGGATCGGAAACCAAACAAGCATCGGCATCTGCAGTACGAGGTCACTGGCACTGAGGCTTGAATCAGTCAATCAGACCACCTGATCGTATCGCATTTGCGATCTTGAGCTCAGGGCCTTCCACATGCTCACCTGCAGATCGCCAACGTCATGTTGTTCTTCGCACTTCGCAGCCACACCCCGGCCTCCATAGCTGGCGAAAGCAGTTGACCCCGAGTAAGTAAATCGCCTCCACGATCCGGGTCGCCGCTGACTTCCCATGCTCTCTCTTAAAACGTGAGCTAGCAGAAATGAGGGCAAGGTCAGAGGCCCAAACAAAAAGACGGCGATGTGGAGCTGGACACAGGCGATGCATATGCAGGCTGAGTAGGACACGTACAGCGGCAACGGCCGGGAGGTGCACGCGTACTTGGCTGGCATTTAAGGGTGTCAGTCGTCACAGTGTTTGTCAGAGCGAGCTCCGTGGTGATCTTCTGTGATCTTGCCAGTTTAGCAAATCTTCAGAGTATTGTCTAGATTAAGAAACGAAACATAAACAACAGAAGCCAACCTTAGCATATATACTATAACGAGGAAGCATTGGGAGCCGCACGAAGCAGCAGCCCTTGAGTCTCGATCGAGAAGTGATCGAGATGCAATCTTCAGCTCGATTTTTCAGAAATGGGAGAGACCCAAAAGATCGTCGACCCTTCTGCATCTGCAAATAATGCTATATGTCTGAATAATTCTACCAAGTCTGACTTTCTCGCTCTGATGGTGACTCATAAGATAAGAGTATCACAAAAATCGGATAGACAATAGTATGTTTTCACAGAATCTCTAGGTATATCATGCATGCTTGCAACGCATAATGTTATATTTACATACTCTTCCTACTTCGTATTAAAATCCGATGACCTAAGCCTCGTGGAAGGCCAGAATGAACTTTTGTGTGTGTGTGTGTGTGTGTGTGTGTTGTATTTCCCACTTCCGCGCCGATAATTTTAAAGGAGTCACATGCTCACATGCATGGATTTATTCATATATGCATCTGTAAATAATCCTATCTGAATATTGTACCAAATCTGACTTTCTGGACTGATGACTCATCAAAAAAAGAGTATCACAAAATATTTCATAAAAAAAAAGAGCATCACAAAATCGGATAGAGATTTTTTTTTTTTGCGGACATGCGGGGGGGCGCGAGCTTTTAAAATCGGATAGAGAATTATTGTATGTTTAGATAAAATCTCTACTTTTTTTTTTTTTTTTTTGAGATGAGGTTGCCTTTCATTCATATCAAATCGGAATCGGTCGAAGCCTATACAAGATCAAATCACGTATACAAGCCGGCGTTTCATGCCACACCTCCGATCTATGTATATCATCATGCATGTAGTTGCAGGCGCATATTGTTCCATTATTGGTCCATCGCTCTGCACTCTGCACTGCAGATGGCTCGGTCGGTCGCCGTTACCACCTGTCACAGCCAGGTTAGGAAACCACTCGTGCCGCCGCCGTCGTCACCGTGTTTTCACTTCCCTTCAGCGCACTGGTCGCGAGATCACGTCTCTCCGCACCCTCGAAAGAGTTCCTGCCCAACTACCAATTATATATCCCTGTGGATACGTGTACTTCCTCCATCCAAAAATGACACGTTTAGTTTTTTTTTTGAAAAGTTAATTTTTTAAATTTAATTAGAGTTATATAAAAAAGATTATCAGCATTTATATTTTCAATTTGTTTATTATAAAATATATTTTATTATTAACCTCTTTTAAAATAATTATTATTCTAACGATATTTATTGTGTATCATAAATATTAATTTATTTTTATACAAGTTTGATTTTTAAAAATCAAAATGGATAGTTATTTTGGAGCGGAGCCAGTACTCCAAAAGTGGACCTCAATTGCTTCCGCCTCTGAGATTAATCCTTGGCTAATGAGGTAATCAACATCGCTGCAATCAATAATTTTTAAATAGCTACTCTAGAAAGAATTATATTTGAGATCAAACAACTAGCGAATCCAGAATAGTTATTCTAGCACGATCTTCAAGAAACAACAATATCACAACTCTCACAACACTCCACTATATTGTTCTTTTTTTTTAAATTTTTCTTAGTCTCATCTAGCCATGTCAAGTACACCTCGGGCTAGGCTAGGCTAGCCTGTCTTGCGGTAGGCACTCAACCTGTCATGGACTATTTTGCTCGTGAATTCAAATGTTGACTGAGCACACACTTAAACGTACAGCCTTCCTTTTGTGTATAACTCGAGTACAACTAAGAGTTCGGTGGTCTGGGATAAGTGGACGGATGTTCATCAATAATAACAGATGGTTAGATATTTCTCTCCTTCCTCAAGCCTTTTTCCCCCCTTCTCCATTTTCATCATCCTCTTCTTCAAATTGTGCCTCTTCTCCAACTCCAGTATCATACCAACAAGGTTTGGTTCTTGGATTGGGGACAATAGTGTTCATTCCGCCCAGTGATGCTTTGTTCTAGTACTTTGTTTTGTCCCCACGTGAGAATGTAACATGGGGTGAGCAACTACCTCTTTGACTTCGGTTAACTAGTGTGTGATAGCCAAGTCCTTATTTCGTGCGCGATTGCTGTCACCTTCTAGGCCGCTAGCTTTGCATGGGCAAGTGTTGAGTGGAGAGTGCTGGGCAACCGCGTCGTTGTTATCCAATGGAGGAAGTCGGTGATGGCGGTGCAAAGGCTAGGGTTCGGATTTGGGCTCCAATGTCCTCTAGCCTTAGAGGAATGGTCAGGAACAATGATTGGTTTGGTGGAGGAGGCAAAGGTGGTTCGAAGGCGGCAAGGCAAGGCATGAGGTCAACAACAAGGTAGCTAGTTGGGACTAGAGAAGGGCGGGAAAGAAACAGAGCGGGGAGGGGGGGTAGGGCAGCGGGTGATGATATCGCCGATGAGGTAGCCGACGGCCAAGGTGGCATTGGAGATCAGAGGTGGTGCAGTTGGAGAGAAAAAGGAAAGGTGAGGAGGATAAGAAAGGTTTGGGGAAAGAGAGAAATCCACGTGCCACGATCGGAATCGTGTGCGTGTCAATTACCATGCGCCGCGATCGGAAATATCGTGTGCGTGTCAATTAATGGCCCTATGTGATAGCCCATTGTAACAAAAAAATTTGAGTTGAGAGAAATCCACGCGCCGCGATCGGAAATATCGCGTGTGCGTGTCAATTAATGACTCTGTGTGATATCCCATTGTAACAAAACTCTTGAGTTGAGAGAAATCCACACGCCGCGATCGAAAATGTCGCGTGTGCATGTCAATTGATGACCTTGTATGATAGCCCACTGTACCAAAACTCTTGAGTCATGACTTGTCCCAATGGGCTCAACTTTAGGGTGTGATTGCTAATCGTCACGTAGCATAATGGGGGCGCTGAGTTTGAAGCTTCAAGAACGGGGGACGCAGTACATCGACAACAGTTTTTGTTGCTATCGGCCCTGTTCGCTTATCTTATGAGTTGTACTATTTCAGCGAACGAACGATGTTTTTTTTCTCACAACAAATCAGCGAACAATACTTTCAGCCATGGCTTTTCAGCAAAGCGAATAGGGCCATCGTCACAAAACGCTCTTTTGTTGGCACGTGTGACATCAAGTCGCGCTGATGAATTAGTTTGAGATAATGCTTTGGTGTATTTGAGTAGAGTACATGCCCGGCGTTTTTTTTGTTATATATACTACAAGTCCTAGTCGCTACAAACCTCTTCTTTTTTTTCACACGTTACTAGTAGCAACAAGCGTAGAGTTTGTCGTGTCCTATTTGCGTGAAGCGAGCAATCTCCTCGATTTACAATGAACCATTTTCCCGTTGGGCCCATGGAAAATCCAGACGATAGAGAATGTCATGCGCAGCCCTGCAAGCATCTATATAAACACTGGCAGTGCCCCTCCCTGACACCACAACAGCACACAGGCACAGGCGTGGCCCCTCTGCAGAAAGAAGCCAGAGGCCGCGGCAGGCACGGACACTTCACGCAGGCCGCGCACTAGCGCCATGGCGACATGCCAGTGCCCGGAGCCGGCGCAATGCCACCACAGGCCGCTCCTCTCGACGGCCAAGAGCTACCCTAAGCTGCACGACCGCCCGAGGCCGGCGTCCGGCACCGGCAGCGTCCTCGCCGAGGTGGCCGCCATCCTCTGCCTCACCGGGCCAATGGTCGGCGCGGGGATCCTGTTCTACATGCGCTCGCTGGTGTCCATGGTGTTCCTCGGCCGCCTCGGCCAGCTGCCCCTCGCCGGCGGCTCCCTCGCGCTCGGCTTCGCGAACATCACCGGCTATTCCGTCCTCTCCGGCCTCGCCGGCGGGATGGACCCCGTCTGCGGCCAGGCGTTCGGCGCGGGGCGGACGGACCTCCTCCGCACCGCGCTCCGGCGCACCGTCCTGCTGCTCCTGGCCGCGTGCGTGCCCATCGGCATGCTCTGGGTGGCCATGCACCGGGTCCTCGTCTCCACGGGGCAGGACCCTGACATCGCGGCCACGGCGTACGCCTACATCCTGTGCTGCCTCCCCGACCTCGTGCTGCAGTGCTTCCTCCACCCGATCCGCATCTACCTCCGCGCGCAGTCCGTCACGCTGCCGCTCACCTACGGCGCCGCCGCGGCGCTGCTCCTCCACGTGCCCATCAACTTCCTCCTCGTGAGCGTCCTCGGCCTCGGCGTCCGTGGCGTCGCGCTCGGCGGGGTCTGGACCAACCTCAACTTCTTGCTGTTCCTCGTGGCGTACGTCTACTTCCGCGGAATGTACGGCACGCGTGACGATGACGACGGCGCCAAGAAGGGCGGCGCGTCCGTGGCGGCGCCGCCAGCCGAGGAGGAGGAGGGCGCCAACTCCAAGGAGTGGTGGAGCCTGGTGAGGCTGTGCGTGCACAGCTGCATGTCCGTGTGCCTGGAGTGGTGGTGGTACGAGATCATGGTGCTCCTCTGTGGCGTGCTCATCGACCCCAAGGCGGCGGTGGCGGCCATGGGCGTGCTCATACAGACCACGTCGCTGATCTACATCTTCCCGCATTCGCTCGGCTGCGCCGTGTCCACGCGCGTCGCGCACGAGCTGGGCGCCCGGAGGCCGGAGCGCGCACGCCTCGTCGCGCGCGTCGGGCTCGGCCTGGGCGCCGCGCTCGGCGTCGTGTCCTGCGCATTCGCCGTGTCCGTCAGGGGTGTCTGGGCACGGATGTTCACCGCGGACGAGGCCATCCTGAAGCTGGCGGCGGCGGCGCTCCCGCTGCTGGGCATGGCCGAGCTGGGGAACTGCCCGCAGACGGCCGGCTGCGGAGTGCTGCGCGGCAGCGCGCGGCCCGAGAAGGCGGCGAGGATCAACGTCTCGGCGTTCTACGGCGTGGGCATGCCCGTGGCGCTGGCGCTGGCGTTCTGGCCCGCCGGGCTGGACTTCCGCGGGATGTGGGGCGGAATGCTGGCCGCGCAGCTCGTCTGCGCCGCGCTCATGCTGCGCGCCGTGCTCGGCACCGACTGGGCGGAGCAGACGGAGCGTGCCCGCCAGCTCACCGGTGGCGGGCGCGGCGACGGCCTTGACGTCGTCGTCATTGTCGACGAGGACAAAAGCAGCCATGCAGAAGCGGCCAAACCAGAGGTCGGGAACACATTGTTCATGGTGGCGGATTGCGTCTAGAGACGACGGAAGCAGGAAGGACCTGATTCATGGATGATTTGCATCCTCGATTCACTAGCTATATAGGTTTTCTTTTTCTTTATTAGTTTTGTTTTCCTTTTTTTGTAATTTTAATCGACCTTTTTGGGGGGATTTATAGCAATACAAAGCTTCAACCTCCCTCTGTTATTAGCTTCTTTTTCCCTCTTTGAAACGAGAGACAGAGAGGGGAGACTGACGAGAGAGTTTACAGTGAAAAAGAGGGAGTGCCCCGCTGTACAAATTAAAGATAGCCAGCATTTCCAACTAGATTCCAGAACAATTGCCAAACAAAATTTTGCTACTCAAAGTGAGCAATGGACTCCGGGTCCGGGACCTGAATGTTGCGATCTCTAATAGTGGAAATCGCATTTGTTTAATCCTATAGGATTTCATTATTAATGCGGCATGATTTAACTGTCGTTATCTTTGCCATGTGCGAACAAGAATATCTTGGCCGGAAGTGGTGTACAGCCCCTGTCTCAGCTTATTTGTTTCCCTGGTGCCCATTTTCTGGTCTGGTTTTTCAGACCAGCCGGCTGCTCCTCCTCACACGCTACGGTGTATCTTTCAGCCGCTATAGTGTTTTGTCTTCTTTTTTCAGGCCATCCACTACGGTATGTTTTTCATTTGTCCCAAACAGAAGAAACAAACTTACATTGCCTCCCTGTTACTGGCACCATCTTCTTTTAGAACGCCTTTATTTTTCCCATTAGTTTAGTGCACAAATGAAATTCCAAATGTGAATTCTGTCCACGCGTGACGCGCCCACGGATTACAATGAGAGATTCGGTAAGTGGATATGCTAGTTTTCAGTGTCTGGTTTTCAGGGATTCTGGGAACTGGTAGAATCAAACTATGAATATAATACAACCAATGGTTCTACAGTGATCGGTAGTAATACTACAGTCTAGAGAGGATCCTTGGAACTCAATGAATCGTTCGATCCCAGGTGAATTCGGCAATCGGTACAGTACTAGTCATGTTTAAATTTATTCTCTTTCTTAAATGCTCCTTAAATATCAAATCTATACCGTCATTATTTTTCCTTTGTTCTTTGAGATAACCTAATATGTCGAACAGCTGCATGGTTATGTTATTAAATAATAATACAATTTATTTGTACAACTTTAGAAATAGACCAATCTAGTAGAAGTAATAATATTTTTTTTCTTTTTTTCTATTAAGTTGGCCTCCAGCTTAGCAAAAAGGTGTGGGCTATACGCCTACCTAACAGCAGAACTTCGGTGCATATCTTCTCCTTTCTCTGCGATGTATTTGCGTGACACGTTTGAGTGTGAAGTTTTGCTCATGATAACGTCTAAGCTACCAATGCAATGCTACACGAGTCACGCCACCGATGTCTATACCCTATGCACAGGGGCCACGATCTAGTCAACAAAAGTGCATCAAATAGCAATCAACTTACAACAGGGAAACAATATATCGAGGAGAGAAAGCAGTAAAAATTATTTAAGTACTTTTATAATGCATGTTCTGTGTAATAAGTTCTATCCTCGGCAACTACCTATGCCACAACCCAATGCTAAATGGGTCATGCCTCCGATGACTAACACCTTACGTACAAGGGTTACGGTCTAGTTGGCAAAATGCGTAACACAACAACGACTCATGAAAGAAAAATAACATCCGCTTTGCTACATGCTTACCATATTCAGACTATAGAATAAGGACTCGCTGATCTTTTTGTCCTTACATTTCAGGATATACATCGATAAGCTAAGTCAGTTATGCCACATCCAGCAATGTCATCGGGCAAGACCATTTAGGTACACCGACGCAGGGCTCGCCCGAGTCGGTCATACCACTACTGGCAACGTTGTATGTCATAAGCACTTGGGCATGCCGCCATTGGGCTCATCTAAGTCGATCACGCCACGATGCCCACTAGGCGCACTCGCCATGTGCTTAGGGGTCAAAAGAAGAGAACGACTTCAAGCTTACCCTCTGACCTATTTTTTGGATCACTGGGAGGCTCGAGGGCTATAGTTGAACAGACGGCCCCTCCATGATGCCTAGGTTCTTCGATGCCACTTATATCAAGCACGACACAAATGGGCCTCAACGTTCATATTTTGGCTCACTTGCATCGGGTTGGTACGGTATGCCCACCTAACCGGCCTAAAAAACAAGAGTGAGGGATATGGTGTGATCGGCTGTCAGGTGGTCGTCAACCAAGTTGCACATGTAACTCAATGCCGCAATGCTAGGATAGGCTTTGACTTGGATCATCGAGTGGCCTCCCCTAGGGAATTCAGATGATTTCCGACCGACTCAAATGAATAAGTCACTCAAGATCCAACCAGAGTTCATGATGTGCCCCTAGTGGCGGGGACTTCGTTACCGTGAGTACCTAATGTTAGGAAACTTAGATGCCACTCATCCAACTAGTTATCATCTCGCCAAGCATGGCATTACCAACAACAAGATTGCTCGAATATACGATAACAATGACATTCAGGGCTCATCGACATCTCTCGATCTCCTGCAGCGCGATCTAGCATCCCCGTGACATTTGTCAAACTCCCGCGGCATGACCCAGCGTCCCAACGGATCTGTCGATCTCCCATGACACAACCGAGAGTCCCTGCGACATCTCTGATAATGGCTTAACGTGGTTCGCACGATGGCATAACATGTATGCTTAATTTAAGTTAGTATTTTATATGTTAATAGTTATAGAAGTGAGTAATTTAGAAACATATATAAGCGTAATTATGGTTATTTAAACATTTTTCACAATACAAAATATTTGTAAGTAGATGCATATTAGTTTGATTACTTATCATAATGGGTGGTTAATTTTAGTCAAAATTTTGGGTTACTTTAGGATGTGTTTCATAATGACACTGGTGAGATAATTCAGATGTAGATTGAGGAGTTATTATATGTCTTTTTTTCATAATGGCATTGGTATGTAAGTTCCTAGAAAACAAAATAGATCGATTGGCTATTATTTTTATTGGTAATTAGAATCTACCAAAATTGATGACTAAGATCTTTCTAATTGAGATTTTTTTAGAATTTATATTTTTCTATCATAAATTGTGAAAAATAATGTGGAGACTTGACTTGGCTCTCCAATTAATAATAGTAAAGATAGATCTTAAGGGATGCCCACTTTATTCAACATGTCTATATTGAAAGACAAGTACTCTCTCCGCTCAAAATTATAGTTCAATTTAGCTTTATCCTAGGTCATACTTTCTCATTTGGACTATTTTTTTAGAAAAAAAGGTATTAACATCTACAAATTTCAAATATATAAAGTATCAAGATATATTTTGTGGAGAACTTAATGATACTAGTGGACACACACGTGCATTATGCACATATTTATAGGTTTTATTCGCTTTGTCATATTATTATAGGAAATGTTCTTAGATTGTTTAATACTTTATGGTTTTAACTTTTTGTTAATAAAATTATTTTTATAAGGTAGATCTTCAGTAATTAATAAAAACAATAACATTATTTTTTGATAGAGGTTTTTGCTTGTCGTACTCAATGACGCTCACTATACTACGCTTATTACATCATTGGTTGATGTTAAGTCAATATATATGAAATACTGTGTGGGAAATATTAATGAGTACGAAAATATTTGTTACCTATTCATTAATTATTTTGTCATGAACACTAACAAAAATTAATGTATAACTCAATGCATGACAGAGTTTTCACCGTTTCTTACAAATTAGAACCAAAGTAGATTGTAGACTTTAAAATATAATCTCTTAATAGTTCATCCACACAGTCGTGATAAGCTTGGTTGGTGGATACAAGTGACATGTCAGATCAATGCACATAGCAGTGAGCAAACCATTTATGTATTCATCTTTTGTATTAATGGATCCATCATACTTGTCAGGTAGCTTTTGAATGCCGACTATAGCCAAGTTTGCAACTTGTTCAACTCCAAATGCACCACTCGCTGGCAAATATAGCTCTTTCTCCATAAATACTTCAATATTTTCAGGCTCATTCTTCCAATAAAAGTTTGGGTCAATGGTTGTGAGATAATGTGAATCATGTAGAAATCCAATAGCATGATGCATCATATCATCGGCGGCCTTGTACTTGTCATGTAAAACTACACATTTGATACTATGTGGAGTATCAATATTTGTTTCATTTTCTTTGTGCATCAGGTACACTGATCCTATGTAGCCACCACTAATATGGTCATTGACCTTAAGTACAAGATGATGATACCATGCCTTTGTCGCAATTTCATGTAAAACAATTTTAAGCTTGCTATTAATCTTGAAAACCCCCCATATGCAAAAAAAAAAAGATGTCGTTTGTTATTCTGTCATATTTGGAAGTGGTATATTATAGATGTTTGTATAGCAAAATAGATTCATTAGGACAATGAATACCATTGTACTAACCTTGATAAACATTTTTCATGTAGACCATATAGCCTGTTTAGCTTCAATCTTGCAAGCATTTGTTATATCTTGGTAAGGGCATAGTAGTGTTGCATTTCATCAATTGATGATTGTGCTATAATTTCTAGCTTTTTTGCGAAATCTCTATAGACTGTAGTCATGATTGGATTGAAACCTATTGTCTTTGCAAGCTTGTCAACTTCATTTGCTTTGTTGATGAAGATACTGACTCTTGGTCTTGACAAACTCTTGGTCTTGACAAACTCCAGTATTACTTCACCTTCAATATATTTCTTCAGAAGAATTGCCAAACATCCACTTAGCTTTTCAATATATATCCATTTATAGTAATGTACATTGATGTCATGCTCATTCTAAAGCAACTATATAGCGTCACGTGCTACAACTTCACATGCATCATCTTTGTTTGTTACTCTATGCGACAATCCACACAAAGTAATTTGAATCATATCCTCACCTTGATCTTTAGAAGGTATTTTGAAAGAAACCTCATACTCTAAAGTTGAAGGGTACCAATATGCATTCTTATAAATTGGTTCAGACCCA